CTGTCAAGGGAGAAGAATTAAAAGCCCCAAAAGTCCTGAAACAGCCAGAAGTCTGCCTGGTGAAGCACCCACAGTGAAAGGCTCAGCCTCATGCCACAGCCAGACCCCAGTTTTGCCCCTCCTGCTCCCAAAAGTGGTTATCATGTTGAAGGACATCAGTGAGACTCACCAGCTGGAGCCTTGCCTCAAAATCTCCCTCCCCTCTGCTGTGACCATGTCCAACGCTGGGAGAAAGTGCAGCAAAAACCACAAACTCCCCCATTTTCCCTTCCCTACTTGCATTTCAAGAAGGGGAACCCCAAATATCTGCATCTCTGCAGATGAGCAGCACGTTTTGCTTCTGCTTTCTCTTCTCATAGAAAATCACAAACAGCCTCCAGAGAAAGCCCCTAACTGGAGGTATTTTTGATTCTTGAAGTTTCCCATGAGGTCCTGCACTGGCAGCTCCTGTGGTTCCCAGCTCCAAGGATGTGCTAAACCCTCAGAAACGTTCCCTTCACATCTGTCTGAACAGCAGCTTCAGAGCTTCACAGTTTTGGTGCCACTTTTCAGGTACAACAAACAGGACCTGATGAGCCTCCCAGGGCTCTTGGAAGCAACAAGAAGCAGCCAGAGCAGATGAGCAGCTGTAAAATCCCCAGGGCAGCTCACACCCCTTGGGGTTGGCATTAGTGTCAGAATGGCACCAAAATGAATGGCATCCCATTCTTTCAGGTGCCCTAAATATCTTTTCTTCCACCTGGGTTTGAATAAAAGAAATAAAAGAAGGACTTTGAATAAAAGAAACCATGCAGAAGAGCCTGTGGTACCCAGCTGTGTCCTCAGCTGGTGTCATGGCATTCAGGTGAAGGAGCATCTTGCTCACTGAGGGAAAGTCCTTTGGGTCTCCCCTACTTCATTTTCAGTGTTTAAATTCTTAGAGCGTTTGTTTTGTCTGCCAAATGTGTTTCATCCTAGCAATTAAAGAAAAAAATAATGCAGGGGGGCAGTGAGGAGCAGGAGCTGACAGGCAGAGTGCAGGAAGCCTGAGCAGAATGCACACACCATCTATTCCTGCTCCTTGCAGGGCACTCAGGTATTTGCAGACATGCTGAATGCCCTCCAACTTTGCCCTTTACAGATTTTTGGGGTCTCTGCTCATGGGGTGTGCAGCCAGACCTGTGCCCCACAAACTCCTGCTACACACCTCCCTCTTTTCTTCCCTCCCCACACTGAGGTGTGTTATTACATCTGTGGGGATCAGGTAGTCTACAGTCCTTCCAAGCTGTAAACTCAACATCAGGGTTTCTTTTAATCCCAAACATCTTGATGTCATCTGGAAATGCCATGAGCAGTTTATAATTAGGGTTTAGCATGCAGATTAATACCAGCAGCTCCAGGGTGAACAGACCATCAGAGTCTAATCAAAGCTTAAATGGGGCAGCAATTTAGTACTGAGATTTATTATTCCTCTGTACAATATTTTGAACCAGAGGCTGAGTTCACAGCACACACAATCATTCCTGGAAGTGCTATCACATCTCCAGTCAGAGCAAGGTGCCTTGTTACTGGTTCATGGGGGTGATAAAGACTTGGCTCTGGGAACTTATTGAGGAATATCACAGCACTGACACTGTACAAGATTTAAAACCTGAGGCAGGAGAACACTTGCACACATGCTCCAGCCCATGTGGATGCTGGGGCAAGGCCATGCACTTACATTTTTTTGCTGTGCACCAGGTGTTATAAGGGAGGTGTCCCAGGACAGCCTGGGCTGGAGCCTTTCCCTTGCCTTGTCATTTATAAAACAAGTAGAAGAGGGGGCTGAGTGAGTGGAAATTTGTTTATCAGTTTGTCTGCACTAGTCCCAGTTTTTAGATTGCAAGGCAGAGCTGCCACAGCTGTCACCCAGCTTTCAGCAGGGATGACAGGCACATCCACCAGCTGCCGGTGGCAAGAACTGTTTTTCTGGTTCCTTTTTCCATCACCTCTCCACCAAGTGGGAGAGGGGCTGTGAGGAGTGTCCTGATCCCAGCCTGGCTGGTTGTGGCTCTGAATTAGAGTTCAGCTCTTCCCTGCCTTGGCTTTGCTCTTGCCAGGGATGCCATGGGGCTGGCACCACAGGGGACAGATGTCACACGCTGTGGCCTCTCAAGACAGCCCATCACCATGGATTCCACCAGGTACCAGCACAAACAGCTCCTCAGCACAGATTTGTTGCAGTGGCTGTGAGCTGTTTGAGCACAGGGCACAGTCCTGCAGTGGGTGATGTTTATTGCTGCAGCACCTTGGAGGCTTCAGTGGATTGACCTGCATGGAAAGAAACCAGGCTGTGCCCCTTCCAGAGTTCCTATTCCCCTATGACAGCGACCTGGTGACACTGGGACAGCCACCAGGAGCTGCAGCCACTCCCCCCTGGCCCAGGGCAGCTCAGCAGGGCTGGCCAGGCTAAAGGAGGGCTAAGCTGCTGTTCCCAAGGGCTCAGACTGGAGCTGGCTCCAGAGCTGGCTGGGTAAGGAGCCTGGGTTTGGATAAGCCAGCCGTTTAACCGGGGTTTTATTACCAGGCAGGGGAACAAAAGCACTCAGAGGTCACCCGGGAACTTTAATCAGCACCGAGGGTCATTGGATAGCAGGATAGGAGGGAGGAGGGCAGGGCCCAGGGCACACAAATAAATAAATAGATGTATTGAAACCACCTCCTTCCTCCAAGTGATCCCTCTCTCCCTTTCTCCATGTACACACTCTGCTCCTTACAATCAGACCTTCAAATGGCCCTAATTTCCCCAGCAGAAAGTCCAAGATCTCCTGCAAATTGAACTAAGACGTTTATCCACAAGGTTTGGTTGTTTTTTTTTTTTTTATTTTAAATCCCTTGCTGCTGGAGATGAAAGTTCAGTCTGCTGGACTGCTCTTGGGCTGGGTATCAGATATCCCTAACCCTGGAGAGAGAAAATGTCCCACCAGCTTCTCTCCCCTGCAGGAAAGGAAAAAAAAAACCTCCACCACCTCCCATAATCAGAGTCTGGGCAGACAAATTGGCACCACTCTTTTCTCCCTCCACCCCCCTTTCTGGAAGAGGACTAACCCTTCAGAGCACAGTCACAACTCACAAATATTTGTGGGTATTATATTGCAAGAGGGGAAAAAAAAAATCCAAAGGAAGGTAACTGTTAAAAGCTTAGTCCCTCTCCCATGGAAAGCAGCTTTATGCACGTCCATAAATCTCCTTTGTAAGTGGCCATTAAAATTGCGTCTTGTTTAATTTTTTTTTTTAATCTCGTTTAAACACTTTTTCTCATCTTGCAAACGAATGATGTCATTGGCAGGCCCAGTAATGAACTGAAAAAAAAAAAAAATAAAAATCAACTTTCTAATGTTTTGGGGGCTCTCTCTAAATGCAAACCCTTCAAAACCAGTTAGCTAATCCAGCCAAATACTTAAGCACGTGCTTAACAACCAACTTGTGTTTAAGTGCTTTGCTCCCACATCTGTCCACACTCATCTCTGGGCACAAATGATGTGCCTGAAGGGAGGAGAGGGTTTAAACTGTGGCAGGGTGAGAGTCCCTGGCTGCTGAACTGTTGGGCTGCTGCTTGCATGGGCAACACAACAGGACAAGATCCTCACTTTGGCTGAAAGGCTCCTTGCTGGCTACTTCTGTTGTTTGGGTTTGGTGTGTGGCTGTAGGTTTTAGTTTATTTTTTAATATTTTTTTTATTTTTTAAAAAATTTTTTTGGAAGCTGTTTTAACCAAGTGGGAGCAAAACCAAATAGCAGGCTGAGCAAACGGGGAAAAATAAATGTGAAACTTGCAAACGAATAATTGGTGTGGTTCTAATTAAAAAGTGGTTAACTGTTTCGGGGTGAAGAGCAGGGGTTTGGGTTGACACCATCTGAACCCTGGAAGGAGCACGTTAAGCTGTTCACCATACTGTGGGTTAAGAAAATGGGAAATAAATACATCCCAGCCCCTTGGAAAACTAAACCATCTTTAGGGCTCAGCTGTAAACTTTCTTCAGCAATTTATTAGAGTTCCAGAAAACACTTGTTGAGTAGCCTCGGCCTGTAATAAATATCAGTCCTTGTTTGTTTGTTTTTGTAATGGGAACAAAACCACATCTTTTTCTTTCTCAAGTGGATAATTTAATTACATGGCAAGAAACGCGTTCATTGTCCAAAATACCCAGAGAAGATTGCCACGAAAGTCACAGTTCTGTGGTGAGAGGAGGAGAGCAGAGCCAGCTGATACCAGAACTGCTTTCAGGGAAGGTTTCTGTGGTGGCACATCCACTTTGGCTGGAGCTGGGGTTTGTAGTGACACTGGGCTTGTCACTACAGACAGGAGACAGGCACCTCTGGCAAGGCACTTCCTACCCTGCATGGAGCACCAGAAGGGAAAGGCAGAGGAACCAAAGGGAATCAGGGAAGGGAAGGGACCTGTCTGGGCCACACAGAGGGTCTGGGGTTGCAGTGGGGCAGAACTGATCCATCTGTTCTCATGCCCTCCCTCAAGCCCAGCTCTGGTCTGAAAATATCCAGGTTTTCTTCAAGAGGCTGAAATACTTGAACATTGAACTCTTCCATGGGGACTTGTCCTGGCCTCAGTGGTAGGAGCAGAGAGGGGTCCCCAGAATGTCTGGAGGTGACCCCTGTGAGAACAGGGAGTGCTTGGGAGCATCCATCCCCTTGTGTGCCCCCCATTTCTGATCCTTTAAGATCAATCCTTGATGGGCTTGGTTCACTCATTCCCTGCAGGCAGCTTTGGGTTTAACCCTGGAAAAGTTCGAAATAGCTGAAGGGAGGCACGATCCAGATAAGCAATTACCCAGTGCTCTTTCCCAGGGACAGCCTGGCAATTATGGTCAGAATCCAGGGATCAGATGGTTGCAGAAAGACAGACCCTGACTCCTCTTGAGTCTTGAGGGGCACAATTAATGTGCTGGTGTGATTAAAGCCACACTCAGCTCTGGGATACGAGAGCCAGATGCGCCAGGTGACTCCTCTGAAGGTGCTGCTTACCTGATTTGTAGCAAATCAAGTAGAAATCAGCCATTCCTGTCCACACAGCTCCACGGTGCTGTTAAACAGCCAAACCCTCTTCTCTTACATGTCTTTGAGGGAGATGAAATCCATATGGCCCAGAGAGTGAGCACAGGCCAGGGATGGAAGGAAGGACAGAAACACCATTTCTTCAGGACAGAAGACAATGGAAATGTTTCCACTGATTCCAACAGGTTCTGAGTCAGCGGCTGCAACCAATTTTCCTCCTAAATGGACTTCCATATGTCTAAAAGAGTCTTGCAAGTGCTGGAATTTGTTACAGAACAAACCTGTACTTTATTACTCTGCTCCCTGATTCCCAGCGTTTCTCCCTTTAAATTCCTTGCTCAGCCATTCCTGGGCTTGGGGGTTCACTTCTGAGAAATGCATTCGTTTCTAAAGGAAACATATTCCATGGGACAGACAGACTGAAGGCTGCCCCCCCTCTGCTCCCAGATTTCACTTGGCTTTGCTGGGAGATTCAGGTTCATCAGAAAATGATGTTGTTCTCTGTGCAGAGGGAAGCATGGTGAGGAAATCAGGCTCATCAGACCTGAAACCTTCTGTATTTTACAGGTTTCCTCTGAAACATAGATATTTGGGCAAAAGTTGAGCCAAGCTGGGTTTTACCAGAAAATTTCTGTTTGTCACATCTTTTAAAACAGAAAAGGTTTTGCCCTCTTTGCAGCCGACTCTAAATTTAAAGATTTTTCTATTTTCTTCTTACATTAAATCACAACAAAATTTGACAAAATTTACTTTTTCCTTTTCATCAAAGGCTGTTTTTTATGGAAAGAGAGTCACTTTCCTGCCCATGGTGCCCTTTACTACATTTAAAGGGATTTAGGAACCATTGCACCATTTTCAGTAGTGGTTTAGGGACTGCATGGGACACTTGCATGACCTTCATATCCATATTTGAGAGCTACCAGTAAAAGTTAAGCACTTAAATACCTTTAACTCATCCTGAGGTGTCAATAAAAGACAAGCTTTCTACAATGTCTTGAAAATATGGCTCAAGTTTAAGTTCCTTAAACCTAATATAATTTTCAAACTTACTGCTAATGCTACACTGAAACACCCATAAACATTACAGTTTTCAAATTCATCTATTTAAGCAAGAACAAAAACACAGGAAGAAACTTTCAAATCAACTCCCCCAAGGAACATCTCTAAGGCCCCATTTAATTCAGAATTTTAAGAAGTTTCTCAGTTTCCCAAGTTTTTTTTTGGTTCATGCTGACCTTAGTTTAAGGGTGTTGGTTCAGAACGAAATCTCAAAACTTTTCATTAGAAAACAAAGCCAAAACCCTCGGATTTCTTTTTATTCCTTTGCCAAAACAGTTCTTCAAGCTGATGTGAATTCCCAAACATTTTCAGCCAACCTAAAGCACAGCCTCTGGCAAATACATAATTTGCCTCAAAAAAGAAGTAATTGTCCCGTTCTATGAAAAAGGATAAAATCCATCCATGATTTTAAGTGCTCAGACTGAACAATGATGAAGTATTTGCCCTGATGATAGGAAAAAAAAAGAAATAAATTTTGCTTATTACTTTGCATATATATTTATACATTTCTGAAATTTATATACACGCATGGCCCTTTCCGTCCAACGTGAATATTTTCAACACAGCAAAAGTAAAGAGAAGAGATTTAGTGCTGATTAGAACAAAAGTTGCACTGTACCTTACAGATTTCAGCATGTCTCATTAAAACTGGGCTTGAAATATACATATCCTTTAATAAATAAAGCTTAAGGTACATAAACACTGCAGCGGATATAAATTATTTTAACCAAAGTATGTAGGGATGAAAAAAAAATTACTGGAACACCATGATCCAGGGCATTTTACAGTAAATTGGACTTCATCAGCGGTTTTGCATTTTTATTTGATTTTGGAGTTCCTCCACTAAAGCTGTAAGTTTTGTAGAGTTTATTTCACACCTTGTAATTTAGAACGTTACACTCCATCGAAATTCCTCTCAAAAAAAGGGCCCGAGTAATTAATGTCTTTGGGTTCAACGTTCATTATATCCCACTAGTGTGAAAATTCATAAAAATAAGACATGGGATTAGGAGCTTAACAGCCTCACACATTTGCAGAGCTGCTGCATTGGCAAATATTTCCCTGCCCTTTCGGAGCAGAGCACTCTCCTGGCTGCTCTCATTTGTTTCACTGGATCATCCAAATCATTAGAAAGTGCCTGGAAATAAACTTCCATGTCTCAGACTTGTATTTTTTTTTTTCTTGGAAGCAAATAAATAAGACGGGTCAAAGCCATTTCTTCCTGTGCTCCTCTCCTTTCTCCACTTGGTGTTTTCTTCCTGTGGTGTTTTAACGGCTCATGGAGACAATGGGAATTTTGGCCACGTGGAGCCAGGGGGACTCCAGATGCCCTTGGAAAGGAAGCAGGAGCTGGGGTTTGATTGCAGAGAGCTGAATCGTTCCCTTTGTGCAAAGCCCTGGGTTCTCCTCCCTGGTTCCAGCAGCTCCAGGTTGAATCACAGGCTCCCTTTTGCCCTGGGCAGATCCATAGATACAGTGGGTGAATTTGTGCAGCAAACTGGAATTTTGACCAGAGTTTAATTTTGGAGGGATATAAACCACTCACGAAATTGGGCTGAATTTGACAAGCACTCTTTCCCAAAAAAACCAAACAAAACCAACAAGCCTAATACAGGAGGCTCTTTTTTAAACTTCAAAACATTTCATTCCAAAGTGTTTTCAAAGCAAAGGGGTTGACTTCATGTAGGTGTTTCTGAAATGAGCCTTTTGGAGGTTTTATTGAAAAACCCGACTTTAGGGGAAAAAAATGAAATTCAACTCTAAAATGGAACATTGTGTTTCGGATCAAACACCATGTCCTAAGTTGACTCAGGATTTCTCGTTTATTTTATATATATATATATATAAATATATAATTTTTTCCCTCAATTTCTTTTTTTTTTTGAGAATGTTTTGGTTCAAAACAAACAGGATTGCTTCGTTCCCTGCTCCCCTCCCCCAGGTATCTGAATCTGGCACAAAGCATCCTTTATCCATCCAGGTCGCTGGATGATACGCTGGCCAGAAGCCCTAAGGAGCAGATCAGATCAGATCAGATCAGCCTGGCTCTCCTCGCAGCAAGAACTGCACAATTCCCTTCCAAACAGGCAATTCCCATTGTGCTGAGGTTCCTTTCACATCCCAGCCTCTCATCGCTGCTCCCTCTATGGCCGACAGGGAGGAATTCCAGCCCAGGATGCTCGGGACCAGCCACATTCCAGGGAACCGAGCTGTCCAGTTTGCACTCAGAGATATTTTAATCGAGGGGAGGTGAAGTCTGCAACAGATCTGAAATATCAGTGCAGATTGCTGCTTTCATTGCTGCACGTGGCTGTGCAAAGGAAAATCTTTGTCCAGGATGGATCAGCTATTGCATCTGTCCTGGAAATTAATTTGGAGACCTGCAGCAGCATTTGAGTGCTTCGCTGCTGGCTGATACATTGAATTTGCCTTCCTGCCAAACAGTTTTTGGCACAGTCACCAATCCAAGGAAGGGGTTTTCAGAAAGTTCTCTAAAGAAGAAATAGCATGCCAAAGGAAAGGCCCCTTAGATTTTACTCTGTACATTTTTGAGCAATGCAATTAACTTTTAGCATCCTAACTCAGGTTTGCACATTTTGCCCCATGAGCAGTTCTTCTAACTGAGTGTAGTTAACACACACTTTCAAAAAAAGGAAAAATTAGAGATATTCTTTGAGCTTAAGGAAAGAAGATCCTACTTCAAGCTTGATCTGCTGAGGCCTCCCTTTGCTCTCAATCCCTAGAGAGCAGTTCTGCCCTCAGAGCAGCCCATCTTTGCAGCAAAAGGGCAAAAGGGATTCTAAGGAAACATCAGAGCTCCTCAGATGGGTGAAAACTGGGAGATCTTGCTGCAAAGTTATTCTCTGGTTCAATCAAAAAACCTGTCATCATATGCTGGGGCTGGTGAAGGGGTGATAAAATCATTCAGCTTTGGGACACGAGCAGCTCTCTCAAATTTTAATCAGATGGAAATGGAGTCAGTTTGTTTGGAGAAGTAGCTCAGCTCTCAGCAAGGATTATGACTCTTATAATTTTCCTGTAGCTGAAAATGGAGTGTGTTTCAGAGCAGTGAACAACCACCATGCTTTCCTTAGGAACTTATCTTGCATCATGTCCCCTGGTGAGGACAAAGCACCAGAAATCCAGGGCTGGTTTTGGGGCAGCAGGCAGGGAATCAGAGGCTGGAATCAGAGGCTGGAATCAGAGGCTGGAATCAGATCCTTGCTTGCTCTGAGGATCCCTCCATGAGCTGATGCACAAGCACAGGGATGAGTCACAGATGGCTCGGGTGCTGCTGGAATCTCAGCAGATCTGAGGGAGTTTGGGATGCTTCCCACCACGAATTCTTCACTCCCTGCCTCACTGCAGAGCCTGCTGTGCACGTGCTGTAAGGGGGGAACACAGAGAAAGGCCTGGGCCTTGGCAAGGGGAAAACCATTCTGCTCAAACACCAGCTCATGGGGCAAGGAGAGCCTGGTTCAAGTGTGGCAGTGGAGTTTCCAGTTAGACCTTGGGTTCCACTCAGCTCTTGGGTTTCTGTGGTTGAGATGATCTCTGAGATGTTAGAAAGTTTTGTTTTTTTTTTTTTTTTCCCAGCCCCACAACTGAAGAAGAAGTTGAGATTCCTCAGTTCTGCTTTTCAAGGTTTATTTTCTCTTATCTGTTCCACTCTTTCTCTGACCTGCTGAGATCTGTGCAGCAGGTTGGGTTGTGGCACAGTCCCTGCCCTTGGGGTGGTGTTGGCTTTTTATACTAAAAACTACGTGTACAATATTTACCATAACATCCCAATACCTATCACCTATGTTAGACACTCTGTCTCTACTCTAAACCAATCCAGAAGTGTCACTATGACAGCAGAAGATGGAGGAGAAGAAGGAGAAGAAGGACAGGACATTCCCAGATTCCTCCATCTTGCCTCTTGAACCCCCAATCTATACCCAC